CCCTCCAGACACCCGACGCCTGGGTCTTTGACCTGCTTCTTGCTAACATGGTCAGCCAGGTGGCCAGGGCTCAGGGCCAGGGGTGTGGGGGGTTCTGTTCATCCTGATCCCAGAGAAGGGGAACTCACACGCCTCCCTTCTTCTTCTCTATGCCAGCAACTGCTTGTCAAGCCTCACTATCCATTCTCTCCTTTTCCTTAGTGATAGGGTTTTTACCGAAGCATATGGCTGCCAGGCATAAAAACTACATTTCCCAGGTTCCCTTGCAGCTCAGGTATGGCCATGTGACTAATTGCAGGCCAATGGGGTGTGCGCAGCAGTGGTATAAGCAATTCACAGGCCATGCACGCCCTTAAAGGGAGGGGCTCCCACCTCTCCTCCATTCACCCTTCCCTTGGGCTGGAGAAAAGACGCGATGGTGGGAACCACCTCGGGTCAGGTGAATGAGGGCAGTGCCCTGAAGCAGAGCAGAGCCGAGTTAGAGAGAGTCTGGGGTGGTCCATGCTGTGGACAGAGCCACCGTGCCAGGTTAGATAGTTACCTAAGAGAGAAAGACTCCTCTCTTGCTTAAGCTACTGTTAGTTGGAGATTCCATTGCACCTAGCTCCTTCTAAATCCTAATTAATACATCCCTGCCTCCAGGATGGCAATATTTTCAAGAATAAGGTCTCTGAGCCTGACTGTACTCCTCCTTCCCACTCACTTGGTACCAGCTGCATTATGGACCGAGTTGTGTCCCCCGAAATCCGTATGTCGTATCCTAATCCCCAAGGTGATTGTATTTGGACGTTGGCCGTAAAAAAGATAATTAAGAGTAAATGAGGTCGTAAGGGTGGGTCCTAATTCAACAGGACTGGTGTCTTTAAAGCAGAGGAAGAGACACCAGGGATGTGTTCCCTGCACGCCCACAGGGAACAGGCCATGTGTGGTCACAAAAGGGGGTGGCCGTCTGCAAGCCCAGGAGAGAGGACCCAGGAGAAACCAAACCTGCTGACACTTGATCTCAGACGTCCAGCCTCCAAAACTGTGAAAAAATAAATTTCTGCTGCTTAAGCCACCCAGGCTGTGGTATTTTGTTATGGCAGCCTGTCTTAGGCCATTTTCTGGGGCAATGACAGAAGACCGTGGCACCGGCATCTGGCAAGGGCCTTCCTGCTGCTTCACCCCTTGGCGGGAGGCACAAGGGCAAGAGAGGACGGGAACGAGAGAGCAGAGAGGCCCAAACTCAGCGCCATAGCAAAGCCACTCTCTCAGTGACTGACCCACTCTCGTAATAATGACAGTAATCCATGCACGGGGGCAGAGGATTGAGTTTCCAACACACGAACACATTCGAACCGTAGCACAGCCTAGCAGATGCATACAGGCCCCTTCCACTACAGCCCTAGAAGATGCGAGATCAAAGGTATCTTCTTCCTTCGCCACTATACAACCAGATTTAAACTGAATGATAATAACAATCGTGCCAGTGATAGAGTCTGGACTTTTAGATGTCTGAACTTCTCTAATTTTTAGAATAGCCTTGGGAGGCTGGGTCTGTTATATTCTCACTTTACAGATGGAGAAAACAAGGCTCAGAGAGGGAAAGTGACTGTCCCAAGGTCACACACTGAGTATAAGGAAAGGCTAGTGCTGTGGTCAGACGAGCTCGGTTATGCTGCAGTGACAAGCAAGCTCACAATCTCCGCGGCCTAAAACATGAAAGATTTATTTCTTGCTCGCGCCACACGTTCCTCTCAGGTAGGCAGGTGTGACGAGGGTCAGGAAAATTGTTTCACGAGTCCTCGTCCAAGAATCAGGCTGAAAGAGCCGGTCACTATGGCAGCAGGGAAAGGAAGGGAACGCGGCAAATCATGCGCTGGCTTTTAAAGATTTCCACCCAGAAATGACACTTCCACTCACATTTCATTGCTTGAAGCAAGTCTCCTGGCACAATCTCACGTCAAGAGGGCTGGGCAGGTGTGATCCTTCTAGGCAGGTGTGCCCAGGAGAGGGAGAACTAGAATATGTATGAACGGCCCAGTGAATACACCATCAGGATTCAAACCGGAACCCACACTCTCAACCACGATGCTTTTCTGAGAGCAACGTCCAGGCAGGACTTCCCTACTTCATCTAGTCATTCACTAACTCATTCATTCATTCAGGAGACACTAGACCGGGGTGGCGGGATGGCCAGGGGAGGCAGTACAAAATACTGCCAGAGTATGGTCCTGGTCTGGATAGAGGGGGTTAGGCAGAAGGGTGTGTCGTCAATTCATTCGTTCCTCGATTCAACATTTATTGAGCATCTGCTGTCTACAGCACTGTTCTAGGCTCTGGGAACACAGCTGCGAACAAGACAGCCACCCTTGCCCTCAGAAAACTGACCTCCTAGTGGGAAAGAGAGACCACAGACAAATGGTGTGGAGCATAGTATTGGGGGTGACGACGCTCTGAAGGGCGGAAGCGGGTGTTGAGGACGCTGAGAAGCTGGAGAGGGTGAGCTCCCCGTGATCGTTTGTACAAGGGGAGGACGGGCAGGAGGGGCGTCGTTCACACTGCAAGAGGGCCAGGTTTGCAAGAGAAATGAAGACATACATCCGCACAAAAACTGCCACATGAATGTTCACGGCTGCATTATTCACAGTAGCCAAAAAGTAGCAACAATCCAAATGTCCACCAGCAGAGGACCGGATGGGGTTTGTGCTTATCCGGTTGGTCCTTATGGCCTGAATTGCAGACAGGACAGGAGGCAGAGCCGGGCCAGGAGGGGGCAGCAGAGGACCGCACGGACCACAGACACACGCTCTCCCACCTGATGCCCCATCCGCCCACCCCAGCCTCTGCCCCTGTCTTTACCCTTCTGGGCACCAAGAGAGTCCACCCAGCTGCCCAAGCCCAAAACATGGGTACCTCCCTCCCTCTCACTGTGGCGGGCACCAGGGCCTGCCCCTGAGGTCTCTTGAACTTGACCTCCCCTGTCCCTGACGGCCCAGGCAGCTTCTCTCCCC